GGTAATATTGAGTTTCACTGACATAAACATTGTGAAAGGTTATAGCCAAAATTATTTTATTCCATATAGATGAATTATAAATAGAGATGGTTGGATAGAAAGAGAACAGAAGAGAAGAGGGCAAACAAATCCAAAGTGTGCTTTCAGCTGGAACAAAAACAACACACTCACTTGAGTGAGCACTGAACTTACTTAAATATGGAGGAGTGTGGCATATTTCTAAAACGTTTCAAGCATTCCTCTGTATGTGGAGGTGGTGGTATTCCAAAGGTTGTTAATTCATGAACTGAAGAATAACTAATTGCTTAAGTTGGTCCAATGGGGCTGTTCCTAAAATGTAAAAGTTGCTTTGACCGAGAGAGTGTCTGCTAAACGACTATTATTACTAACAGTGCTTGAAGACATCCCATTGTACAATACAGATAATAATGGATTTCTCTTTCTCATACTTTCTTTTAATTATAAAATTAAAAGTACCTAGACAAAGCAAAACAGGAAATGACCTCCTCATCATAAAAAACACACTTTATCAAATGCAACTAGGGCTGCAACTAACGATTATTTTGATAAATGATTAGTTGGTCGATTATTTTATATATTTTTTTTCGATTAATCGGATTAAAAACAAACAATTTTCTTTTTTTATTTTATTGACAAAAACACACTATTCCACATTCTACCCAATGTCCTTAAAACAAACGTGCCAACTGAATGCTATGAAAACATACAGTGTTTAACAATTTATTAGACCACCTGCCATAATAAAGAGAAAACACATTTTAGGAATTGTAGGAATCTGTCAAAAAATTGTTTAAATAAAAAATGTTTTATTGTCATTTATTTATAACTAAATACTTTTATTTATTCACATAACAAAAATGGCCTCCTATGCCCTTCATAGCTTGCGTTCTTGCTGGCATTGTTTACTTTTTGACTGTAATTGGGTATCTGAAAAAAAAAACACTATAAAGCTCTATGCCTTTCTTTCATAGATAACAGAAACTCTCCTGCAGCATCTCATTCTGTTTCCTCCACTATTTTAGATGCATTTTGTCCATAGAAATAAGTAATTCAGTGCTTTAATTTGACGCGACGGGCTGAAGTTGGACAAGTAAGTTATGTAAACTCCGTTGGACGTGCACTGTGGGCAGATCCGATTAATCGATTATGAGAATCGTTGTCGATGATTTTCATAATCGATTTTATCGATTAGTTGTTGCAGCCCTAAATGCAACCTAGACTGAACAGCTTGAACTACAGTATAGTAAACCTAGAATTTAAGGCCTTTAGTAAACCTTTAGTTTAATTCTCTCTGTTTGCCATTCATAAACTGCATAACAGAGGCAAAGAGGCTTTTAAAATCCACCTTTTATTACTCTCCATTTATTTGAATGCCAAGCAACATACCCGACAAATCATTACTGCTATTCAAATCTCCACTAAGTAAAAGAGTCTGTAAAAGAAGAGACTATTCAGTAATCTGGTTGTCAATTAACATTGAATTAATCAAGATTTATATAATATAATATAATATCATTAATGAAATAAAGAAAATGTCAGATTTCACTATTTTAATCACCTAATCTTTTGTTATTTATTTATTAAAAATAAAATGCTTATAAATACATATATTTTCACAGTATATTAATTTATATAATACAAGTTTTAATTAACTATTTTATAAACATTTACATTTATAATTCACCTTGTCCTTTGGTGTGATAATTTATTATTAAATATTCCATGATGTCTCTCAGTTATTATATTACATTACAGTGATCATTTCTAAATAATTTCACTGTAATATTGTTATTTTAAAAATACAATCAGGATTGACTTGTCTCGATTGCAGTTTCAACTGTAACGCCAAATTTATATAAAAATGCAGAGATCGATCTTTACCTGATGCTAACGCGTCACGCCAGCACGTGATCAATGCTAATGAGGTCGCGCCAATTAAGGCGTGTTCTCTGGAAGAAAATAAATATTCGGCAGTGCCTTTGTTCATGATCACGCCACAATGGAGGAGTTTCTCATTGCACCTTACAACTGTGGAGGCTATCCTGGCTATTTCCCCGTTTATCCCGGCAACTGTAAATTTAAGCACCAGAACTGGAACAAAAAGGGAAACAGTTTTTATGTTGCGCCAGACGCCCCCGATTATTTCGACTTTTATAAGCGCGCGCAGTTAAAAGCGATATTATCTCAGGTGAACCCGAACCTAACGCCGCGCCTCCGCAAGGCCAACACTAGAGAGTTCGGTGTGCAGGTCAACCCAAAGGTAGATACCACTGTTCAATGCTCACTCGGGCCCAAAACGCTGTTTTATCGCGGTGATAAATGGGACTCACCAAGGACGCCGTCCATCATTCCTCTGAAATACACCCTGCCCAGCACACCTGTCAACTCCGTGCGCTTCTCCCGCCCCGTCGCCATCTACTCTCCTGTCTTCGACCGCAGGATTTTCTCCTTATCCACGACTGCCGGTGAAAGCAAGGACGATGGAGGGGATGAGAGCAAGGAGACGGACAGCGAGACGGACGACGACGAGAAGTGTAAACCGGATGAACCGACTCACGAAACACTGCAGGGTAAGTCGGTGATTCAGCGAAATAAACGGTCAAACTTTCAGGTTTGTTGTGGGGAAATTACCATGGCAACCGTAATTTCCCCCTAAATTACGTCGGTTATTGTACTTTCGAATTATGGTGAATTTTAGGTTGGCGATGAATCCTAGCTAGTGCGGGCTTTTGACATGGTTCATCTCCGAATAAAAGCTGACCTCATAAATATGCAAGTGGTTATTGACGCTCAATGCTGATTGGGTGAATTCAACTCCTGACGATTACTAGACTTGTCTATGAATTTTATTTTTCCCCCCAACTTGAAACTTGCAAAAGTGAAGTGTTGTGAATAGCTGCTTTTTCGTTACTTTTTTTTTTTCTCGTCTTAACTCCTCAGTATCATGAATATTCAATGAGGTAAACTAAGGCAGTTTTTTTTTAACTGCATGTAAATGGTATTGCGGCAGAAACTGTGTTGCGCAGACGATTACTAGACTTGTCTATGAATTTTATTTTTCCCCCCAACTTGAAACTTGCAAAAGTGAAGTGTTGTGAATAGCTGCTTTTTCGTTACTTTTTTTTTTTCTCGTCTTAACTCCTCAGTATCATGAATATTCAATGAGGTAAACTAAGGCAGTTTTTTTTAACTGCATGTAAATGGTATTGCGGCAGAAACTGTGTTGCGCATTTCTTTTATGTAAATAAAGCTAACGATAATTCTAACCATTTATTCTGGTTTAGTTTCTGGAGCAGAAATACGGATTTTATCACTGCAGTAAGTGCAATATTCGATGGGAAAGTGCGTTTGTGTGGTGCATCTCGGGGACCTCCAAGGTAAAATGCTTTTGACTTTCAAACTTTTGATCTTAAGACTCGAACCTAATCAGATGGCACTTCCACAGGTGTACTTCAAGCAGCACTGCAGAAAGTGCCAGGCGGGACTGAATCCATATAGGGTGGAGTCCATTCAGTGCCAGGTATGAGTAGTCAAAGTGCATTTGAAGCTGTTTGTAAAACTTGACCATGTTCGGGTTCACCAGGTTTGCTGCAAGACTCGCTGCTGCTGTGAACGGAAGCAGAGGCACGTTGACATGCGCCGTCCTCACCGCCAGGATCTGTGCGGCCGCTGCAAGGGCAAAGGCCTTTCCTGTGACACCATCTACAGTTTCAAGTACATAGTCTAATTGTTCATGTCTATAAACGTTTTAGAATTGCATTGGTAGCTCAAGTGACATCTTGGGTGGGATGTATTGTATTTTTGTATTCCAATAAATTTATAAAAACCAATAAAGTATTGCAGCATAATGTCAGTGTGAATATTTCTGCTTTGTAATGGGGTAGTTCACCCAAAAATAGTCACTTATTCCCACTTTAAAAAGGGGCATTTTGTAAAGCGGTTCTAGTTAAACCGTTTTGGTTCCAATTGACTTCCCTTGTGTTTTCTGACCAGTAAATTGGAACCGACACTGTTTGGACAAGGTTTTTTTTTTTTTTTTTTTTCTCCTTCAAAATGATGTCTTGTGTTTAGCAAGAGAAGTGCATACATGTTTGAAGTTGTTTTGTTTTATTTTTTTTCCCCCCCTCTTTTAAAGTGTACTATCCTTCTACAGGAACAAAATGAACTTTGTAGTTAACTTATTCCGTTCCAAACCTATATTTTTCTTATGTAGACACAAGTCATATTTTGAAGGAAGTTCAACTTTTTGTTTTTTCCATGCAGTTAAACTCAACAGAATCCAAAACGACACTTTTTGTTGACGACATGCAGCTTTTTCAAATATCTTTCCTGATCATATTTTGCCCAAGATCATGTGTGCATGAATAAAACTGTCAATAAAGCTCTTTTACATAAACAACAAATGTCTTTGCTGTAACTTGCATACAGTGCAAAATCACTCCTTTTCTTGGACTCTGCAGATGCCAGAATAGCTAAAAAACAAACAAACTGGAGAATCTCAACATGAAGAAAGCACAATTTACTTCACAAAAGCTTAAAGTATTTACAGTTTTTGAAAAATCTGGCTAAAATCGTGCAGTGTGAACTCGGCATTAAGTGTTTGAGGTGCAACAGGGTTTGTGTATGTATCAGTTCCCAAACAACAATCTTTTCAGAGAATTATTAAATTAATATTATATTTAATATTAAACTGCAGTATTAACCTTCGGGGGAAAAGCACTGAAGGGTTTAATGAAGGGGAGTACTTTCTATCTATGGAGGAGAGACTTATTTTCAGATGTCACTATTTTAATTTATTCTGTTGAGTAGTCACTATTGAAACTGTTGGGGTGTATTTTGCTCACACAAAGTAGACCACAGATAAAAACAGTTTCTAGAGTATGACATTTTGAATTTTTTTTTTTCCACCCACCCACAGGATAAAAAAAATATATATATTTATTTGTTTATAGTTGTTTTTTTTTTGTTTTTTTCCCTCAGGGTTTTGTAGCTGTACCAACAAAAAACCCTGATGGAACTATGAACTTGATGAATTGGGAGTGTGCCATCCCTGGAAAAAAAGGGGTAAGTGCCAATTTGGAAAATGTAATTTAATGTTTGTGTTCTACGAATACGACATTTAATATTCAAGTTTGTAAGGTGATGGTTTGCAGTACAGAGACCCATTACTATTTACAACTGGTATTTGCATTAATCTCAAATGTCTCCTTTTTTTTTTTTTTTTTTTTTTTTTGGGGGGGGGGGTGGAGAAAAAAAAACAACACGTTTCAGACCTTGTATGCATTTTATTTTTTTCTCCTTAGACGCCGTGGGAAGGAGGCTTGTTCAAACTTCGGATGCTGTTTAAGGACGACTATCCTTCCTCTCCACCAAAGTGTAAATCAGATGTTCAGTGGATCTAATCCTTGTGCATACGACAAAGTACAAACATTGTCTAATTATCCCTGGTTTTTATCCTGTGAATTCAGGTAAATTTGAGCCCCCTTTATTCCATCCAAATGTATATCCGTCTGGTACCGTGTGCTTGTCTATATTAGAGGAAGACAAAGACTGGAGGCCTGCCATTACAATCAAGCAGGTAAGCTGTAAAGGTTGGATCCTTAAAGGTTGCACTGCTTTGTAAATTGATCGATACATTGTTAAATGTCTTTAAATGGAACCGCAAATAACAAAGTGTAGTTCAAGATTATTATGTTTAAAGATGAATTATATTTTCATTGGATTTAATTTTCAAGTGACTTTTTTTTTTTTTTTACACTTGATCTTAATGTCATTGATTGGTGCATCTTAATCTCCTTAAACCAAATCTTCAATGCAATCCTGAAGAGGGCAGTGTTATCTCATAAAGCTCTGCAACTGATTTATATTTTTAGATTTTGCTAGGAATCCAAGAACTCCTTAATGAACCAAATATTCAGGACCCCGCACAGGCTGAAGCATACACAATTTACTGGTACGCACCTCCAGCTCAAATATAGTCTTGCCCGTGGAGACTGAAATGCTTATTGCCTCCGTTATGAATCTTGTGTTTGCGTTTCTGTTTCAGCCAGAACAGAGTGGAGTATGAAAAAAGGGTCCGAGCACAAGCCAAAAAGTTCTCGCCGTAAAGCTCAAGATTTCACACTGTATTGGAAATGGGTTTTGACCAGGTCTCCTTGCCCCTGTTACTCCCCCCTTACAAATCCTATCCACTTCATACTAATTTACTGCTGGGCTTAAAGAAATGAATGTGTCGTGCCATTGTCAATCCACTGATGCTCGTCATAACAAACTCTTCCTGGGGGTTTTAAATTTGGTCTTTTGTATATTATCTTTTTTTTTTCCTTCCCGTTTGGGCAGCAGAGGAGCTCACACGAAGTTGAGGTTTCCGTTTTTTTTTTTTTTTTTGGGGGGGGGGGACCAATGACAATTTTCCCAAAGAGGCTTTACAGTGTGCAATCTCTCTAGGCATGCACTAGTGACAAACACTAATCTCCCTGTGATGCCTCCCTTTTCCACTTTACACAACATTTTAATAAAATACAACTTTTAATAAATACAATTCGAAAGTAAATACAATAATGCATGCTTGGCAACTGACAAAGAACAATTTCGAAAACTATGTTCAACACACTGATTTCTTAAATACAAATTTACCCTAAACGTGAGCCTGTGTACGGTGGAGCGCAGGACGTCGATTGAAACAGCCAAACAATCTCATACCAGCACTTGAAGTAGAATCCGCTTCAGCAGTAGTAGCTTATCAGTTGTATGAACAAATCGCTGAATGTCAGTGTGTTTGTGTGCAGGTGCGGAGGCTGATATTTAGCGGTACGCCAGTGATGGACAGGTTCACAAAGACACAAGCTCTCAGCTTTAAACAGTTACAGGTATCATGACGATGACCAAAGACATACATTATGTATGACCAAAGACGACAGTATCCTGTGTCGTTCCATCTTCAGTTTTGCAGCATGTCCTGATCGCTTTTAAAGACATTCTCGAACAGTTACAGTAGAAAGGCATCCGTTTCAATGATCCATCATTGCACATTCCCCACGTTAACAAACAAACCAAGTGGAAGTTCTCACTTGGGTGCTTCCTTTCTGAAAATGCAGCATTGCTTTCAGTAGCAAACAGGATTTTTTTCTTCTCATGGTTTACGACATGAAAATGTCAACATAGTGCAATAATTAAAAGATGCGTTTGAGTGGCTCAATCCAAGGAATCTCGCAGGAGCAGCTCCGTTTCTCCATTATTGCTGCACATTTGAGGACCTGAGGACACGCTCACTCTCAGGAGCCCCTTCCTATTCAGTACAGTCAAGGATGCTCGTGCAAGTTTCCCTAAGAAGGGCACAAGTTTATGAGTTACACCCTCAAAAGGGTGGCAGCACTCCCAAACGTCACACTGGATCTGGCCTGGAGCGGGTGGCAGGAGCGGAGGGTCGTGGGATGAGGGCTGGCACAGGAGAGGTTGGTTGACTATGGAGGAATCCAGTGGTGGAGCGGTCCAGGCCAGGGCTGGTCTGGGGTGCTGCAGGCTTCCTGTCAGAGACTCACGCCGGACACGCTGGAGTCCAGGAGGCTGGATGAGATCACCTGGTACCCCTGAGCGTGGCGGATCATGTCCCGAATCTCTCCGTTGAGCTCCATGATCTTTGTGCAGACCTCTGACATGTCCTTGTTTGAGCCAACCAGGGCAAAAGTGCCAGTTTGGCCCAGAGTTTGGTGGCGGAAGTAGACGTTGAGGAGAGTCTGGATCTCATCCTCTGAGCTGCCACCGAAAATGTCATTTGGCCACATTCGTCTAAAAAGTAGAAGAAAGTTTAGTAAATCTCAATACCAGTACAATACTCAGTATCAAGTTCAACGTCACAATGAAAAATAATATGCTGTTAAACACACCAGTGTTAATGTTTAAAATAATTGAAAACATTAACTTAATTAAAAATAAATAAACTATAACTAAATAGATTTCCATTACTAACAACTAAAATAAAATCAAAATGGCCACAAATTCATTTTAGTTTCTGATACATAGTATATTACAAAAATGTAAAACATTTACAACCTGCCTTCATTGAAGGTAAAAATGTCACTTGATACTCTAGCAATAACACTGGACTGTGCTAAAAAATTAAATAATGTTAAAATTTGTAAATAGTTGTACATTAACACTAACGGTCTAAAACAGGGGTGGCGAACGTCGGTCTTGGAGAGCCGCAGCCCTGCAGCATTTTGCTTCAACCCTAGTCAAACACACCTGAACAAGCTAATCAAGGTCTGAAGGGTTACTAGGAAGCTACTGCATGTGAGATTTTATTAGGGTTGGAGCTGAACTCTGCAGGGCTGCGGCTCTCCAGGACTGGAGTTCGCCATCCCTGGTCTAAAACAATAGTAGTAACGATACTAAAAATGAAATGAAATTAAAAATAAAATAAAATCTAATAAAATAAAATAAATGAAGTGCGAACAAAAACGAAACTTACAAAACAGATGGATAAATAATATATAAAAATCTATTCTATACAAAAAACAGAGTTTTGTGTCCCTCTAGTGGTGTCATATCTCACCTGCACTCTTGAGTGTAGCGGATGGCCATAGAGAACTCGCTGTTGTTCAAGCACTCCAGGATGGCCTGTACAGCTGCCTCTGAGCTGGGGAAGATGGACTGGGAGCCGTGCCTTTGGCCGTCCTCTAGATCGCCAGCTAATGAGGTTTCCGCTAGCCGCAGGCAATTCTTCAGATCGCTCAGTTCACGCGACATGTTCCACAGCTACAGATTGAAAGCACATGATCAGGACTGAGGGTGTACTCACGCTAGGCACGGTTGCCTTGAACCAAGCCCGAGCACGATTATCCCCCCTCCCCACTCCCCCGCTGGCCTGCACTCACACTTGCACTAAACTTTCCGTGCCGGAGCACGCTTACGTCATGTATGAGATAACCTGGAGATAACGGAGAAAACCACTTTCGCTAATATTCTGCCGAATAATTAATTTATAATTTATGCCGTGCATTGATTTTCACTTGTATGTATCAGAAAATTATTACGGAGACAGCTGAGGTTAATGAAATAATTTGCAACTTTTACTCGCAAACTACATTTCCTGTCCATCAATAAGGTAAGAACCAGAGCCATTATAAACCTAAATATACTTGATTTAATTAAATTTATTGAAAAGTGTAGTGTAGTAGTAGTAATAGAATATGTTTGCGGTCGTAATGACAGTAGCGCACACAAAATAGGATCTGTTCCGCACTCCGGCGCGGTTAGCGCTCACACTGCATGCGTTCCGCACCCGAGCCCAACCGAACCGTGCCCTGGCCCACCTCTTCCAACCGGGCCAGGGCCGACTAAACGAACCGCGCCCGAGCGCGGCACGGAGCGCTCACTCTAGTCAAACGAACCGGGCTTTGGGGGTCCAAACGCGCTCGGGCGCGGTTCAAAACGCCTAGTGTGAGTTCACCCTGAGTGTTTTCAATCAACAAAAGTCAACCAGCTAGTGACTAATTTTATAGTCAGCCAAACTAATTTTTTTTTTGCTCAATTAGTAAATTGTTCCTTATGTTTTTTTTAAAGATGCACTACATGTTTTCTTAGGTTTTGCTGGCTGATACGACATTGGTATTGGACATCTTTCAGCACAGACGCTGAACAACAGAAAATGTCTATTTCAAAAATGTCCAGTTTTAACTGTAGAAATGTCCAAACTGTCACCAAATTCACAATATTTGTTTAGACCTCTTTCAGGCTAATTTAAATAATTCTCACATTTCATAAAATATTAAAAATCAATTCTAATTATAATTAAATAAACCAAAAAAGAGATCAGGTAATGGGTGTACTGTGTACCTCTGGCACAGAGCTGATGGTGTTCACTTGTCCGATGAGTTTGCAATAGGACTGATACAGCAGAAGGAGCTGGAAGTGAAGTTTGTACAGTCGCTGACACAACTCCAATTGCTGTGGATGATACAGATACATTAGTCATATGACATAATAAAGGAATCATACATACTCACAGCCACAAAGATTAAATACACAACTCTAACATCCATCAATGAGTATGTCTATATGCATTAAATAATAAAAAAATATCTCAGTATTTTATTTTTACTTCTGTAGTCTTAAGACCATTTACATGATCTTAAAAGTGTGGTTATTCAGCATAAGATTGTGTAAGATCATGCAAGTAAACACGCTCGCTTGCAGGTAAACTGAACTGAATGCATGTAGTGAACTATAAAGCTGCAAACACAGATCACTCGCTCTAACAGATGAATAAGAGAACGTTTTTAGTTTTAAACTTACAGCCAGAGTTTCCATTTGCTGTAGAGCATGTCATAAAACAGGAAAGAGTTGAGAAGGGAGAAACAGACAGCATTAATACCCAGCATGCAATCCGTTAGACTGTGCCACTATGCTCAGAAATCCCATCCACATAATTAGAGGATTAGTGCCAGTTGCATTCAATCCAAGAACCCAAGCCATATAAATCATGCAGAGGATGATAAAGAGGCGCACAGAGTGACAAGAAGAAGAGGAGCGAGGAAATATTACATGAAATATTGCATTGATAAATACACTACCGTTCAAGTGGTTGGGGTCAGCAGGAAATGCACTGCAAACGGAGTAATGTGAGCCTGGCATTATGTGTGTGCGCTGCAAGTGTGCATGAGCGTATGGTCTCCAGGAGAGCGCGCGACCGCTGAATGGTTAAATACTGGCAAGAATTAAAAAGAAATGCAATTTATAAACTTTAGTGACGATGTGACACTGCCTCGATTGTGCAAGTGACAATTCCTGTGTCAACTGTGCAGCGTGTAGCTCGCTTATAGACAGACGCGATGTGTGGTGATTTGAAGCGTATTTTGAGAGAGAGAGAGAGAGAGAGAGCACGTGCGCACGGTGATTCACTCACACTGTTTGTGAAATTACGTCTCACACAAGGTTTTCAAATTACTTTATAAGTTATTTAAAGAAAAAATAGGAAGGTGAGTACCTCACCTTCAGAATTATAATTATTTCACCCGTGCCAGACAGAGACTGAGACGGTGCCACTGCATGTCGTGCCAAACCTCTCACGGCAGCCTCATCAGCTTGAGATCGTTTTTTTGAGACCGCCGATCGATCATCCCAACGTGATTATCGGCCGATAGTGATCGGTAGCCGATCAATCGGAGCATCCCTAATTTTTATTTTAAATAAATGCTTTCCGTTTTAACTTTTTATTCATTAAAAATTTCTGAAAAAAGTATTGCCATTTCCTAAAAAACATTAATTTACAGTATATTGACATATATCAATTGATATATCAATTGACATTGATAATAATAAATATTTCTTGCGCAGCAAATCAGCATATTAGAGTGATTTCTGAAGAATCATTTGACACTGAGTACTGGAGA